AGGGCTGGCCTCTCCATGGCTGTGCAATCTCCAGATTGCAGTGGGGTGCCAGGCTGTGTCCCCTTATGTGGAGAGGTTCTGGTGGGAGCAGGGTTGGGAAGAGCTGGAGATCCTGGGCTAGAGGGGGCCTGGGCTGGGAGCATTGTGCCAGAGGGCCATGCAGCTGCCACTCCACAGGTGCTGACTCTTGGGTGCATTGCAGGTGTGAGATCAGACTGTATAGCAGTGGACTGGCTTGGAAGGAACCTGTACTGGACAGATGGAGCAGCAGGGCAGGTGCTGGCCACTCGCCTGGGGGCTGCCTGGCGAGGGATACCAGAGTACACTGTGGTGATGGATGGAGACCTGGACCGGCCCCACTCACTGGTGCTCCAGCCTATGGCAGGGTAAGGCTGGGACAAGAAGACATGGAGACCTCCTTGCCATCCCTGCCCTGTCCCATTTTCCTCCACGGAGGCGGGTGGTAGGCTGGGGAAGAGTTGGGATGGCCTCACCTGGGTGCTGCTGGGGCTGTGTGACCCGGGAAGAAGGAGCTCAGGACCTGCCCCTGCCCTGGGTGGAGCTCTTGGTGCATCCCTAGCGGGATGGGAAGCTTTGTGCTGCTCCTCTGGACTTCACTGGTACTGGGATGATGCTGTGGCAGGTTCGTGGGCCAGCACCTCTCTTCCCACCAGGCTGATGTACTGGTCAGAGGTGGGGAACCACCCACGGCTGATGGAGGCCACCATGGATGGGAGTCGGCGGCACGTGCTGCTGGCCCAGGGGCTGGGCTGGCTCACAGCACTGGCCCTCGACCTCCCCACTTGGAGGATCTTTTGGCTGGATGAGAAGCTGGGGAGCATTGGTTCTGCACGTCTGGATGGCACCAGTGTGAAGGTGTGTGGTAGGGCTCTGGTGATGGGGCCCTGACAGGGGCCAGGGTGGGCACTCATGGCCTCTCTGCCAGGTCCTGCAGCTGGGCTGGGTCCAGAGCCCATTTGCGGCAGCTGTGTGCGAGGGGCAGCTCTACTGGTCGGAGAGGAAGACATGGTCCGTGCAGCAGGTGGACAAGGCCAATGGCAAGAACAGGACCGTGCTGCTCAAGAGACATGGGCAGCCCCATGGCCTCCAGGTACCTACCCCAGGGGAGCCCCAAACCCTGCTGTGCCAGCTCTGCTGGGGCTCCCACCCTGCGTCACCCTGAGTGTGGAGCCACTGGGACCTGTGTCCCCATCCTGGTGGTCCTTGGGTAGCAGTCCCTGTGGTCGAGTGTTTCTGGTCCTCTTGGAGCATCTCTGCCTCACTATCCTGCCCCAGATGGGTCTTGTCCAGGCCTCGGCAGTGTGGTGTGGTGTTGGTCATGCTCAGCTCTGCTGCTGGGTGCTGGTGGGGCCGTGAGGCTGAGCCTGCCCTTCCCACAGGTGATGCACCCAGCCCTGCGCCCCGTGGCCCTGAACCCATGCGTGTCACGTGGCTGCTCCCACTTGTGCCTGCTGAGCTCCCGGCATGCTGGGCAGTGCCGGTGCCCCACCGGGCTGACGCTGGCTGCTGATGAGACCACCTGCCTGCCCCTCCGCGACTCAGCCTTTGCCCTCCTGGTGTCACCAGCAGCTGTGGCGCAGGTACTGTCCTCCGGAGCTGGCCCTGGGGCTGCTTTCCTCCCTGATGTCCGAGGTGCAGGGTCTCTGTCCTAGTGCTGCCTCCTTCCTCCAGGTTTACCTGAAGGACCTGCCCGCAACTGCTGGATCCCAAGGCCTTCCCCCACACCAGGCTTTGCCCTTGGCCAAGGTGGGCCACCTGACAGCCATCGACTACGCAGTGAAAGACAAGAGCCTGTACTTTGCAGAGGTGGGGGGTGACTCCATCGGGCTCCTGCGCCTGAAGGACTGGGGACGGCTGTCCTGGAAGCAGGCAGTGGCTGTGGAGGGCACGGTGACATCCCTGGCCTTGGACTGGCTGAGCGGGAACCTGTACTGGATCGGGGGGCAGCCGCCCAACATCCGCGTGGCTGCTCCGGGGGGGCGGTGGGTTCTGACGCTGCTCAGTGAGGGGCTGAGGGGTGCTGCCTGGCTGGCACTGTGCCCTCCTGCCTCCACCATGTGCTTTGTCACAGCAGCTAGCAGCCACGGGCCCAGCAGCATGGTGGAGTGCGCAGCCATGGATGGCACTGGCCGCAGAGCACTCTGGAGGAGAGCCCAGGCTCCCACTGGCCTCGCCTTCGGGGGTGCTGGCACCCGGCTGTACTGGGCAGACCGTGGTGAGTGTGGGCTGAGCTGGGTCACCGCTGGGAATAGTGCTGGTACAGGTGCTTGGTCCGCAGGACACAGACTGACATGGCCCTGAGGGGCAGCCCAGAGCCATCTGTGCCCCCACATCTGATGTCTCTGCATCTGTACCCCGCAGAGAGAGGCACCATCAGCAGCATCGAGTTGGATGGATCCCACTTCCGGGTGGTGCGGGAAGGGCTGCACGGCCTCTCGCTTTTCACCATCGGAGAAGGCTTTCTTCTCTGGAGCACGATATCAACTAATGGTGAGTCTGCTGGCGGTGCTTGTCTAGCTCCTCCTACTGCACCAAGACACAGGGGTCTCTGCCCCTCCCTGGGGGCTGCAGGCTGCCCCTCCCTGGGAGGTGAAGCTGTGCTGACCCTATGTGTCTCCAGGCTCCAGCAAGATCTGGTACAGCCGGCTGGAGCGGGCTGAGAGCTGGTGGTTCCCAATGGAGCAGGAGTTGGTAGCCATGAGGATTTACAGCCAGTTCTCACAGGAAGGTGGGTCCGCGGCTGCCCCAGCCTAGGACATCTGTGGGGCTGAGCTGTAACCCCGTGGTGGCCATGCTAACCCGTGCTGTTTTGACAGGCACCAACGGCTGTGCAAAGAACAATGGGGGCTGTGCCCAGCTCTGCCTGCCCAACCCTGCAGGGCGGCTGTGCCGCTGTTCCCCTGGCTACCAGCTGGTGCGTGGGGTGGCATGCACAATGGCATTGCCCTGCGTGGCCCCGCTCCAGGCCTGCCCTGACCTCCAGAGCTGCATCTCTGGAGAGCAGGTCTGCGATGGGCGCCCTGACTGCATTGATGGTTCTGATGAATCTGACTGTGAGTGCCTGCCCACAGATGGGCTGTGCGGGAGTTCTGGCTGGGCACAGGGAGGTCCTGCCCGCTGTCCCCCAGTTTGGGAAGAGTGGGGTCTCACCTGGGTCTCTGATGATCTATGTCCATCCCTCCAGGCCCCTCCGTGGAGTTGGGGACACTGGTCCCCATGGTGGTACCATCAGGAATGTCCCACGTGGAAGAACAGAAACCAGCCCCTGGCCCCCAGGAACATGGAGAGCCCTTCCTGGCATCCCCCAGCACCGAGGAGGTGCTGGGGGCCGTGCCGTGCAGCAGCGAGACATGTAACCTGCGTGGGGACTGTGCCATTGAGGCTGGGCGAGTGACATGCCACTGTGCCCTGGGCTATCGTGGCAACTACTGCGAGGAGGCAGAGGTGCAGCCCGTTGCAGGACCTATTGCCCTGGGGGTGGCTGTGCTCCTGCTACTCGCTGCTGCTGCTGTGGGGGCCCTGGCCTACATGCGGAGGCGGGACAGGCGGAGGAGGTGAGCTCTGGGACTGGGCTGGGCCAGGTACAACTGGGGATGGAGAGGGATAGGGTCTCCCTGCCCAGAGACACCATGGTATCCTGGGGCACTCCTGGGCTATGTGGAAAGCTCTAGTTGCCCTGGCAGGCTATTACTGGGGGTTGTAGCAGGACCTTGGGATCTGCCCCATCCCTAGAGGGTGGCCAAGTCATCCTCAGTGGATTTGTTCCCCTCATCAGGACCTCAAGCACTGCCTCCACCCGGGTGCTGACCTTGTACCATCGTGAAAGTGACCCTGAGGAAGAAGATGAGGAGGAGGAAGAGCTTCCTCCCAAGAATGATACCTTTGTGAATGAAGCTTATGATGGGAAAGAGGTAAGCAGCAACTGGAGCAGGCACTGGTAGGGACCTCCCTGGGGTGCCCCAAGGCCCCCCTGATATGCAGATCCCCTCCCCAGGCCCAGCACTTGTCATGCTGCCCACTCTTGAGGCAAGCTCTGCCCTCCTGCTGAGGGGGGAGAGGTGCAAGACCTGGGGGTGCCTGGAGTCTGGCTGGAACAGGGGCTGTCCCGCTCTGTCAGTGGCTGGATCCCCTGTGCCAGCCAAGGTGTGGGTTAGGCCCAGGCAGGCTGGCTCAGGCTCATCCCTGATAGACCCATCTGTGATCTCTGCAGGAGCTGCCAGACTCACTGAGGAAAGGACCATCTCACCCTGACACTGTACTTTCATAAAGGAATGTTGTGCAGCATCTCTGGTGCCACTGTGGTTTGTGTGTGGGCCGGAGAAGGGAGGTTGGTTTGCTCTTCCTAGATCTCTAAGCTTTAGGGAACTTACAGCCCAGAGCAAAAACCTTTGGGAGGTTTTTCACACGTTCTCCAAGCCACCTGAATCTGATTCCCCACTTCAGGGTGCATCTTGTACCATCCCTTAACCACACTTAGGGCAGCTTGATCCACTGTCCCTCTGCAGCAAGTCTTAGCTTGATGACCAGGGTGCTTCAGGCTCACCTAGGGTAGAAGTCTGGCCGAATAGTTGGCTCAGCTTTTGCCCTGTTATGCAGGGTGTCAAGCAGGGTTTTATAGTTGGGTTCTGACCTCCTGAGTGTCCTTTACAAACCAGTGAGACCAGTTTTGCTGCCTCCCACCGAGCTAATACTGAAAGGGGAAATATATGTTCTTTTTTTTTCCCTTTTGATATTTTCTTTCCCCCTGAAGTGGCTGTGCTCAAGGAAGGATAAACCTCTTCCAGAGCCAATTTTGACCAAGGGGGGGCAGGTCCCTGAAGGAGGTGCTATAAAAGCTACCTGTCCCCTTCTACAGACCTTTCCTCCCTGCTTCAGGCAAAGCATGGAGGGGAGCTGGGTTAGCTGTGCCTACTGGCTCTCAGCCCAGCCTGCCTGGCAGAAAGCCCATAACCATCCCACAGAACAGACCCGTTCCTCTTCGTTTATTTTGCTCTTTGCACAGCCCTGAGTTGAGCAGAGATATGTGGGAGGTGCTTCCCTCCCCTATTCCCAGCCCTGAAGGCTACATAGTGGTAACCTGTACCTTGCTCACCTGGGAGCACCAGAGCTGCCTTTGACCAAGTTGCTGTATGGTGCAGGAGGATGAGCTAAAAGCTGCGTGGAGAGACTGGAGGGCTGGTCCTCAACCCAGCATGGCTTTGGCACAGTGGTGGGAACTGGAGCATGGCAAGCTTTTGAGGAGCTTGCAGAGATTCAAGCCAGGTCCTTAGTCTTGTTTCCAGCCTGCTCTGAGGTGGTGCCCTAAGAGAAGTACATGGCTTGGAGGGGCAGGAGCCAGTGCTGTTCTCGGTGCCAGGCAGGCAGGCTGGCTGGTGCCCACTGCTGTCCCTGTGCTGGGCTACAAGTCAGAGTCACAAGGCAGGGTGCTCTTCCAGTGCTGTCCGTCTTGCTCGTCCTCCAGCACATCCCAGGGATTGCGGTAAGCCTCTATGGTGGAGCATGGCCCAGCCTCCAGCACGGGGCTGGGGGGCAGTCTGGGGGCTCTGCGTTCCTTGCAGCAGTGGTGGAAACTGAGGGTGAGGGCCAGCCCTCCCAAGATCTCCAGGCAACTTCCCAGGTAGCTCAGCACCAGGCTGTAGCCTACAACCAGCGTACTGCCAGCCGGTGCGGGCAGTGCCCAAAGCTCTTGGGTATACCAGGAGGCAGGCACAAGGCTCAGCAGCCCTGAGAGGAGCAGCATGATCCCCGCCACGCCAGCCAGCAAGTGCCGTGGCTCCTTTTGCCAGCAGCGCACCCCCAGTGCAGCCACCACCAAGCCCAGGAGGGTGAGCACCAGTGAGGTGGGCATCATCCCTTGGGCAACCCGCACAGGCACCTGCTCAAAGTAGCCCAGCTCATCAGCCTGCCCACAGTAGCGGTCATGGCTGCTCTGCCGCTCTCGGCACATGTCCCAGATGCCCTGCTCCAAGATGAGATCAATGGGCTGGTCAGGTATGAGGCTCACCTGCCTCCAGTTGGGTGCCAGTGTGCCTGTGAGCGTCAGCAGAAGCCCGCAGGGGCACAGCACCAGCCCCACGATCATCGCCGCCGGTGTCCGCATGCTGGGGAGGTGGGTGAAGCAGGCTGCAGCGTGCTCCTGCGTGCCAGCGTCAGAGAGGTCCGGGGGGGTCTCCAAGGGAGCAGGGGCTCACTGGTGCTGCCTGGCAGAAGAGCTGGCACTGGTGGCCCGGGGCTGCTCGGTACAAGCAGGGCTACCCCGCAGTAGGATAGGAGACCCAGGCTCCCTGGTACAGCAGGCAGCCTGCAGAGCCGGTGTGAGCCCCTGTCCTGGCTGTGCCCAGGGCCGTGGGGAGGTGCCAGTGGCAGGAGGAAGTGCAGGCATGGGAGGAGCCCGGTGCAGGCAGGGCTGGCTGGCACCCAGCCCCAAGGGCTGCAGGGGCAGCGGCAGTCCAGGGCACGGGAGCCCATCACCCAAGCTCCAGCCCCTGCTCCTCTCTGCAGGTAGCAGGGCTGGGGTCCCAGGGGCAGTGAGCCATCTCGCGGCTGCAGGTGGCACTGGGATATCTCAGCATCACCCTGGGGCTTGGCAGCAGTCGGTCCCTACTCCTTCCTGCTGGGGAAGTGCGGGACCCTGTTGTGGCTCACTTAATTAAACTAGCTGTGAACTTATTTTATCATCAACTGAATTTATGAAAATCATTAATTAAGATGAAGCACTAGCAGCTCTCACAGTTAGTAAGGACCCTGTAGTCCTCCCCAGGCCCAGGAGACCTTCCCAAACTCTGGTCTTCATCTTCTTACTCTTCATCCCAGCAAGCATCTCCCTGTCCTTCAAGGATGGCTCCTGAGCTTGGCCCTGCTCTTCCCTTCCCAGGCTGTGCTCAGAGGCCACCCGCAGGCATAGTAGGTGACTCTCAGCAGGAAAATGTCCCTGGGATGTCCACTGAGACAGGTAGGGGAATGCAACACATTTGATAATCCCTGTATGGGGTTTTGAGCCCCCAAAAGCACTGGATTTGGGCCTCTCCAAATTTCCTGAATTTCTGCCAGTCACACTGAGTCCAAAAGAGGGCAGCATCCTCTGTGGATTAATTTAGCATGAGCAACCCTAGCTCATTGGGAGGGCTGGCTGTATGTGTGCCCCATAGCATCTCTGCACTGCTGCTTTGGTGGCCTTGGCCACCTGGAAAGCTGGGTGGGTCTGTGTTGGTGCTCCCTTGCCCACTCCTCCATCCTACAGGTATTCCCTGAGTGCTTCCAAAGCCCTTCTGCTCTGCAGGTGCCAGATCATTTTGGAGATGAATTGCAGAGCTGTTAATGACTGGATCTCAGCCCAGCTGGAAGGCAGAGCTGGGCTGGACTCAGCCAGAGGCTCATGTGCCCTGTCGCATCTGCAGAGCAGCAATGGTGACAGCCAGCAGTGCGTAGCTCCGGACCAGGGACACCTGGCTTTGTCATACAGAGAGAGTAGTTTGCTAAAATTTGGGACTCCTTGGCTGAGAAACTGCCATTTCTCTTTCTGTCCCGTTAAGTTTTCAACTTTTACCTCCCTCTAGCCGTGGAGTCCATACCAAGCCACCCATTGCTGTGGGTCTGGCTGGAGCTGTGGGTCTGGCTAACACACCAAATGCTGCCTGTCTGATGTGTTGCTCAAGGCTGGCTTCTGCCATGGGATCCCCAGCCCTAATGGGAGTAGGTGCTGAAAGAGCTGGAAATCTTCCAGTCCTGACTCTTGCAAGAGGCTATATTTTCACTTCCACTTGGACACGAGATGTAGGTTGGCTATGAGAAGACATAGTTCTCCTTGGAGAGAGGAAGGTAGAGCAAGCTGGGTGCCATGGATGAGGGCCTGTCAGTGCCATTTTGGCTCCTCCCAATCTCAGGTGGTTTTTACTAATCTGACAAAACACAGCTTGGTTACTATGCTGGCAGGTAAAGCAGTGGTTGTCTGTGGACCAGCCAGGCCGAGTTGTAGCTGTGAGCAGGTGGGAGCAAGCCCCTAGGCCTGTGTGGCTGGTGAGGGCTTTGCTCCCCATCTCAGACATGCAGGTAGGGTGTGCATCAGCCCTGCTGGAAAGGGAGAAATTCTGCATCTTGCCAGATTTGCCCACGTATTCCCCAGACAGGCCAAGAAACCTAGAGGCCTGCTGCTCAGGATGCAAGGGGTGCCACAAGTACCCCCAATTTGGACTTTGCAGTTCCTGCCCCAGGGTGCATTTCCCTGTGGCACTTTCCTCCTCTCATCTGCTCCCTCAGCCAAGCTCTGCCCTTCTTGCCCCCACTCCCACAGACTTGGGTTTGAGAGGTGGCCACTGCTTGGATCTGCAGCAGCAAGTAGAAGCTGGGTACTGGGAGCATTGCAATTAAGCACCGGGGTCAGGTTTAGCAACCTAGGCCTTTCCCAGTTATTAATAATGCCCAGGAGGATGCATCTGCCTTTTGGGCTGGTGCCCAGGCTCCTGATTGTGGGGCAATGATAAGCAGATTAGGTGTTGTGGCCCTGATGCTGGATGACCTGTCCAGAGTAGGCTCAAGGAAGGAAACAGGATTAACAGAGCTGTTTCCTAATGCCACAAAGTTATAGATTGTTCATTTCTTCCCTTTTACTTTCTAGTGAGGTGGTACGAAAAGCAATTCAAAGCAGGGCCTGGCCCTTTCCAAGCTCCGGGGAAGCATTTAAAGCCATCTGGTTTCAGAGATAAAATGGTCTGGCTGAAACTGCCTTCCTTCCCACATTTCCCTAGCTGCTGGGTGGGGAGAGCTACCTTACTTGGTGTTTCCTACTTCTCCAAGGCTGTGACTTAGTGTTTCATACCTTGGCAAAGTCATCTCTTTAAGAACGTGATGGAAACTTTTTTTTTTTTTTTTTTTTTTTTTTTTTTTCTTTTAAACCCCCCTTTGTGAAATGGAGCAGCAGCAGAAGTTGAGCTAACTGGAACTGGAAAAGATCCAGGGCAGGATGGTCAGAGCTTGAGATTGATTCCAAGGAAAAAAAAAATTTAAATATCTGTGATGATCTATTGAGTGTCAGGTTGCTGCTTCCTCAGATACCCTGCATCACTGAAGGCTAGGAACGCATTCAGGGTAATATTGCTGTGATCAGCTCTGACTCCCTAGATGTCTGCTTCCAGCCACTGGTGGTGACGGGACCCAAACTGGACAAGTGTTAGTGTCTCTTAGGTGACAGTGGCTCAGCGTAGGATCAGTGTGGATAGGACTAATGGCTTTTGGGTTACACCATTATCACACCAACTGAGCAGAGTTTGGTTAATAGCTGGGCCCTGCCTGATGCCAGATATGGCCACAGCTGAGAAACACACACACACAGACACCCCACTCTCCAAAGCTTTCTCTGTGATACTTGGTCTGATCCAGACTCCCAGGTCCAGCTGAGCTTTCAAAAAGTGGCTTCTGAGAGATCTTCCCTGCATGAAGGCACATCTGCCCCTATGCTGTCTGCTGAGCTTATGGCACTGAATGGGGTGGAACACGTATTTGCGAGGGGGTTACTCTGACTCCTTACCCCTGTGGGACTTGTCCTCAGCAGCATCCTGTTTGTTGTGTGAGGAAGAGCCAGGGCCAGGGCTGTTTAGAAGGACACTGCAGCTGGTAATTCCTGTTTACATCCCACTGACCCTGGGGCTTCACCTGTGTCACATATGGTAAGATTCCACCCCATACCAGCACACTGCCTGCATGTCACACAAGTTTTATCGTACCCAGCTGCTTCTCAGGTTCAGAGTGGCCTGGGCCCGTGCTGGACACCGAGCCATGTGGCAGTCAGGTCTGCAGACATGGCAAATGGCAGTGCATGGTCTGTACCTGCCTGGACTGCCCTAGGTCTGGCAGTTGCCCAGCAGGCCCAACACTTGACCCTGGCTGTGTAGCCTTCACCCTCTCTCTCACTTTAAGAGAATTTGCCTTGCAGACCCTGGAAGCCCCTTGTGTCCTGCCTGCTGTAGGGAATGGGGACTGGCTGGGAACAGCACCTGGGCCACTTGAGGGCTTACAATTTCCCCTAGTCTAGCCCCTTGGACAAGTCCACTAGCCACCTGTGCTTTTCTCTCAGTTGAAACCCTGAATGTCTTCAGGCTGGAAGCAAAGCAGGATGGCTTCAACAGTCCGTGTTGGGTTTTTTAGCATTAGACCTGTTTGTCTAAGCTTATTCTCAGTCTCCATCCTGCAGGAGAGTCTCATTAGGCAGGTGTCTGGGTTCAAGGACTTGGTTCTGACCATTCCATTTTGCTGGTTTCCTTTTAGAATTTGGAGTGGGGGAGTTTCTAAGCATAAAAAATGAGACATCCCCATCAACAGCTCCTCACTTGCAAGCCACAGCCCAGGCAGCATGTGAGTGCAGCCAGGACATGCTCTGCATTCTGCAAACAGCTGCAGTTGCAACGGGCTTCTCTCAGCCCAGCTCCCAGCTTCCTCCCCAGACACACACACTACTGTCTTTGTGCCTGCCGAGAGGCCAAAGATGGAGCTCCCAGGCAAGACAGGGTCTGCAGTCCTCCTTGCTAGCTGAATGTGGAACAGACGTCTGCGTGTCATGCCCAGAGCACAGGCAGTGGTGGTCAGCAACCCAGCTGGGCTCTGTGCCCCAGCTCTCCAGCCTTTAGGGCATGACTTCTGTAAGCAGATTTATTGGCCTTCCATTGCCCATTGACCTGCCACCCTCCAGACTGGCCATGGTGGTGACGACAGCCCTGAGGATGCGCTGTAGGGGGTTATCAGAGACCAGGGGATGTTGGGTGTGCAAGGTCTTGCAAGCCTCATGCTGGCAGGTCCCACTTCGGGGCTGTGATCCAGCAATGACTTATACTCAGACCTGTGGCCCATAGGTGACTTGGCTGTTCCCCAGAACTCAGTGTGAATTGGGGGCAGCATCCTGTAACGCCTGCAGGGCGTTTGCACTGAGGTTGTTGCTGCTCTGTTTCTGCAGCCCAGCTGGACTCTGAACGCTACTCAGACTAGATCCTGGGAATGAGTTGTTGAAAGCCTTATTAGATGCCCCCCAGGTATTCACTCATCCGTTAAACTCCCTCACTTCCAATTGCTGCACTTGGACTTGACAGATTGCCTAGTGCTGCTTCTGAGTATTTGCTTTGAGTTCAGCAAATGATATAAAAAGCATTTTTGCAGCTATATCTATTTTTGTCTGACTCAATACTGAAATGGTTGAGAGTGGTTTGGACATGAAGCTCTTGTGCTGGGTTTTGGAGGTGCAGCCCTTTTCAGATAGGGAGAAGAGAGCAGTTATAACTGTGTCTGGCTGTGGAAATTGCATGTTTGTCCAGTTCCTGGGCCACAGAGCT